TTGATGAGAAATAAAGTGTTGCTCTGATTAAGATTAGATTACCTGAACCAGGTCAATGGTGTAATTGGTTTTAGCGTCCCCAGGTTAAGGAAATGGGTTTCAGCTTCTGAACTTCAAGCACTTTGTGCATTGAGCATTTGCTGTTTGTTCGGACAAGGGCTTCCTCTGCCTATCCAAATGGAATGACTGCTACTAAATTCAACACTGACCTATGCAAATGTAACATTTGAATCGTGATGTAATCAAAATTCATGTTTTTGGGTGCAATGTTGTCTGTAAAGTTTGGCAGTGTGCTTCTAACTTTTTTCAACTATATGGTACCTTTTAAGTTTTTTTTTTGCATAAATGTTATTTCCCTGAGCGCGCACTCCATGATGCCTAATAGCTGGTGTGTAGCCATGCACATTGCAGCTCAGCAAGAAAATTGCCTAGATTAATAGTATGTTCCTGCGCTATATGCATTTTCCCTTCCTTCACACTGGAAGAGTATTTAGATACTTATTGAGATGTTAATCTATTATATAATGTTCTCTTTGATCATTTGAATGGGAATTCATATTCTTTTTGTTGACTTCCAAGTTTTTGTCTCATTTTGTGAAGCCATTAACTAATGCTAAATTTTCATAGTTGCCAGCAGCCTTAGAAAATGTTGCCAAAGCAGTTTTTCACAAGAGTCTGGCCTGATGGCAGGCAATTTATTGGTAGGAGCCCTTGAAACCCAGCCCAAACCTATCCTTGCTCCTTATTCAAAGATATGCATCTTTTATCAGGGATCATATGAAGCAACCAATTTGTTCAAAACTGAATATGAGAGCTCTCAATCGGATACAATTGCGCATATGAAATACTATGCATGGTGTAGGAATGCAAAAGTAGTAGAATGCATTTTTAATGTGATGTTCTTCTACCTAGTCAAACTCCCAGTCTGGCCTATGATTAGGTGAAGGTATATGCAAATAAAAGCACCAGGCACAAGCACATCCTGTACTAGAAAATTTTGTGGTGCTTGGACCATTTGGGGCACTAAAAGGTTTGATACCTTTGGTTACAAGAATTGCTTAAATTAAAAATCAAATCTGCTGTCCAGGTTCTCCAAGCCTAAAATATTAAAGTGAAAATTTACTTCTGGTATCTACAACTGGATTTGTAAAACCATGCTACTTACAAACAAGTTGTTTGACTGCCATGCTTCAATTTTTTTGATTATTTTCTACTTGCCTCTTTCTCTGTTCCAGCATCGACTGTTGCTGTAATATGGTTCCCCATGTGACTCAACAGGGAGCATCCACATTCTTTTAGAGCATGGGTTATTATGATTGAGACTAATCTTAACCTTGTGGCATCCACAAACTTGCACTTCTTCATCTGGTATTGTCTTCTGACAATTGGGAGCAAAAGCTCCAGCCGTTCCCCATCTATCCGGCTGAGATTCATCCAATTCAGGCCAAGGATTAGTGTTCCTAATTTGTTGCATGTGGGATTACACTATTGACACATTTGCCTATGTTATGGGGGAGCGTGTTTTAATTGCTAATGTTTCATAGCACGTTGGGTGTCATTGTTATTGTTCAGCTCCTGAGGGTCTCTACACAGCACTATTTGGTTAATTAAAATAAGAATACAGATTTAAATAGAAAGTTGGTTGACCTACTAATGCATGTGTAAGGATTTAACTTTGTACAGGCTAGACCATAAGATCTAGGCTGAGAAGTAGGCCATTCAGCCATCTTGTCTGCTCTGTCATTCAATGAGATCATGGCTGATCTGATAATCCTCAACTCCACTTTTCCGTCTTTTCCCTATAAACCTTGATTCCCTTACTGATTGAAAATCTGTGTATCTCGGCCTTCAAAATACTTAACAACCCAGCTTTGACAGCTCTCTGTGGTAAAGAATTTCATAGTTTCACCACCCTTTGAGAGAAGAAACTCCTCCTCATCTGTGTCTTAAATACATGACCCATTATTCTCTCCCACATGGGAAAACAACCTTTCCACATCCATCCTAACAAGTCCCTTAAGAATATTGTATGTTTCAGTAAGGTTGCTTCTCATCCTTTTATATTCCAAGACTCAACCTACTCAACCCTCCTCATGAGACAGCCCCTCCACACCTGGTATCAGCCTTGTAAACTATGTACCTTGTACCTTGTATAGTTTTAGTGAAACTTCCCTACCTGTACACTCCATTCACTTTTAAGTAAAGGTCCACAATCCATTTGCCTTTGCTGTTGTCTGCTGAACTTCTATGCTAACTTTTTGTGAATCGTGGATGAGGGCTCCCAAAGCCATTTGTTCTGTAGCTTTGTGCAGTCTTTCTCCATTTAAGTAATAATTGGCTGTTCCTCTTCCTGCCAAAATATCAGAAGTCACATGACACCAGGTTAATGCCAAAATGTATAATGTCACATTTTCCTCGCATTTTCCCCACATTATGTTCCATTTGCCAAGTTTTTGTCCACTCACTTAACTTGTCTGTATGCCTCTGTAGACTCTTTGGGTCATCCTCATCACTTACCTTCCCAACTATTTTTGTCATCGCAGACCATCCTCCATACAAATCATTAATATGTAATAAAAATAATGTGTCCCAGCTCTCTGTCTTCTATTAGTTAGCCAATCCTCTATCCATGCTAATATACCAATTCCAACCCAGTGTACTTCTTAAGTAGCTTAATGTGGCTGAGGGAGTTCTTTGGCTTTTTTATAGTTGTGACCCTTGCAATCGATGAACCTATCACCATCTTTCTTTTGCGCAGTAATATTTCCACCAAGGGCCCCTCCAAAGTGATGATGATTCAGCAGGACAATTAACATACTTCACTTTTCCCTCCAGTAAACTGGGGAACTTGCTGCAGGTATAGACTGGCTGTACACCACCTCTTTGGCTAAGGAAATGGTAGTTGCCAGAACTGAATCCAATCTGCTGTAATATCTCCATATGTATACTCCCCATTGGTATTATAGAATTGTGATTGGAAGTGCAATCATTGACCAAATTCAGTTAGAGGGACCTACTCTGAGATCAGGTTCCTCCATATTAAATCCATATTGGTGATAATTTCAGCTTTTCTGATGAAGGGTCTAGGCCCGAAACGTCAGCCTTTCTGCTCCTATGATGCTGCTTGGCCTGCTGTGTTCATCCAGCTCTGCACCTTGTTGTCTTGGTGATAATTGTTTTTTTTTAATAGCTGAGTAGACTTTTTATGAAGCCCCACCTTTTGTCAGAATCCTGAATCTTCAATCATCAAACACCTTATCATAGTTTGATTAATATATTTTTTAAAAAAACCCTTAATATGTTCTTGGTTCCTGGTTTGCATAATCATATCAAGTGTCTTTAAACATTTGTGCATGTCTCAAATAAGTCTGGAAAATGATGTTGCTTGCATCTGTTGTGTATTGACAATGTTTATGCTGTAAGTTTCCAGCGTTAAGTTTTTATTTTCTTTTTGTCATCTTGTATATTATTTGAAATTGAGACAGCCCTGTATCGTTGCTAATTCTACGTCAATGTCACTGAAAATTGTCAAAAATATTTGCAGTAGACATCACTTTTTTTGTTGCAGAGTTGTAAATTATTTCGCCTGCAACTTTGTAATGTACTATTGCGCTATTATTGAAGCACAGATTACCAGAGATCATGATGTGTATGTTGATCTTTGAAGCCTCCATTTCCTCCCAAAAACTAGTTGGACACATACACTCTACAAAAGGTCAATCACCAATGTTGCTGTAGATGGCCTAGAATAACTTGTGATGTCACAGTGATTTAAGTTAACTCAATGTAACACGTTTTATGGAATGATTTGATTTTACAGGCATACATTAAACAAACTCAGAACAACTTTTAAGAATAGTTTCATTCAAGTTCATGATATGACATAATAGATATTCATACTTTTGCCACTGTCTAATTGCTGGTGAGTGGTAATTTTGCCTTTGAGGTCGTCTGGAAGTATGAGTGATCTTGGTCTTTTGTCTCAGCATGAGAGACTTTCATTTTATAAAGCTGCTACGGCGGCTAACTGTTGCTGTGAAGTATTTGCTGGTGTCCTGAGTTTGAGTTGGCCCACTTAAGGACACACATTCATATTTTGCTTCAGATGATGTAACCATTCTGACAATTTTCATGGACTTAAACCATTCCAGTCAAGCTTCTGAACTCCAAGCTGGTGTCTGGTCCCTGATCATTTGTGTGTGTGTTGTGTGTGTATATAAGTATATTCTTCAAGAGATTTAGTGAAGTTAAGGAGAATAAATGGCTCTGTTGGAAGAAGAGGGTTGGGCCAAATGTCTCCCCTACTTGTTTTTAATGAAGTAAGTATTACTGCTTCAGACTACAGCATTCATTATGGTACAGGGCTTGACATTTTGCTAGCAACAGCATCTATGTTTCTGTTTGGAAGCTAACGTCTGAGTCATTGGGAAAGAGTTGAAGTTATGTTTTAAAAAATAGTCATCTAGAAAAGTGATATAAATATTCAAAACCGAGCCCCACTTCACAATTTATAAAGGAATAAGGAGGGTTTGGGGGTATATGCTGAAATTTGAAAATGATGCTTTGCTTCTCAGCAAATGTATTGTTCGGCAAAAGTTTTACCTTTGTTTTTGAACCAGTTTCAGAAGTCATTTTAAATTCTCCATTTTTTTCAAAATGTTGTTTAGAAATTTGAGTATTGCCCAGCTGTAACTGAGGCAGATTGTTATTGAAATGTTGATGTGCTGTACATATTCTCTTGTGTAAAATACATGTCAGTTTCTGCTTCTTTTTCAGATTCCGTAAGACTCGGATATGACCTCCTTTTTTGAATGGATTTATAATGGTTTCACTAATAGCTTCTGTAGCGCACTTCAATTTCTAGGTAAGTATTTGTTTATCTTATAGAGTTATAGAGCCATACAGCGCAGAAACAGACCCTTCAGTCCAACTAGTCCACGCCCACCATGTTCCCAAACTAAACTAGTCCCACTTGTCTGCCTTTGGCCCATATCCCTCCAAACCTTTCCTTTTCATGTACTTATCAAAATGTCTTTTAAACGTTGTAACTGTACCTGTACCCACCACTTCCCCTGTCAGTTCATTCCACGTATGAACCGCCCTGTTTTTTTTTAAAAAAAGTTGCCCCTCGTATCCTTTTTAAAACTTTCTCCTCACCTAAAGACTTTGCACCCTAGTTTGAACTCTCCCACCCTAGGGAAGAGACCCTTGCTATTCACCCTATCTATGCCCCTCATGATTTTATAAACCTCAAGGTCACCTTTCAACCTCCTAAACTTGAGTGAAAAAAGTCACAGTCTATCCAACCTATTTTTATAGCTCAGACCCCTCTATTCCTGGCAACATCCTGGTACATCGTTTCTGAATCCTTTCCAGTTTAATAATATCCTTCCTACAGTAAGGTGATCAGAACTGGACATAGTATTCCAGAAGAGGCCTCGTCAATGTCCTGTACAATCTCAACATCATTTCCCAGTTCCTATACTCAAATGCCATCTTAACCACCCTGTCAACCTGTAATACAGATTTCAAAGAATTATGCACCTAAACGTCTAGGCCTCTTTGTTCTATAACATATGCAGGGCCTTTACGTTAATTGTTCAAGTCCTGCCTTTGTTTGTTTCACGAAAATACAATATCTTGCATTTATCCAAACAAACCCAATTGATCATGATCTCTTTTTGTAATCTTCGGTAACCCTCTTCATTGTCCACTGTACCACCAACTTTGGTGTCATCCACAAACTTACTAACCACGTTAGTCTCGTCCAAATCGTTTATAAAAATGACAAACAAAAGCGAAGCTAGTACCGATTCCTGTGGAACACCGTTGGTCACAGGCCTCCAGTCCGACAAACAACCCTCCGACACCACCTTCCGTCTCCTACCATCAAGCCAATTTTGTATCCAGTTGGCAAGCTCACCCTGAATCCCATGTGATCTAACTTTGCCACTTACTTTACCATGTAGAACCTTGTCAAAGACTTCACCAGAGTCCGTGTAAACAACGTCTACTGCTCTGCCCTCATCAATCTTTTCAGTTATTTCCTCAAAAAACTCAATCAAGTTTGTGAGACATGATTTCCCATCGCACAAAGCCATGCTGACTATCCCTAATCAGTCCTTGCGTTTCCAAATGCATGTAAATGCTAACTTTCTGAATCATCACCAACAACTTACCCACCATCAATGTCAAGCTCACGGATCTATAGTTCCTAGGCTTCTCCTTGCAGCCTTAAATAAAGATACAACATCAGCAACCCTCCAGTTC